GATCTACTCTGTTATAAATATTCACACCTTATCCTGTCACCATGACCCTGTTACACACGCCCAACCCCCACTGTCTCTGAGCCACCAAATCAGGAGAAACATTTACTCAGCTTTGACCTTAAAATCTTTTCAAATTTCAATGAGATTACCTCTCATTCTTCCAAATCCCAAGAAATGTAGGCCAGGTCTCTCCCCGTGACACAATTGCAAGGTGTAATGAATTTTCGTTGCCGTCCCTCTTGAACGGGTTAGTCTGTCCTTAGGGAATGAAGTCAAATAGGAAGAGCCTGCAGAGAATTTCGAGGTCACTCCTCTGGTGGACACGAAGCAGGAAATCCCAGAGAATAGTCGGGAATGGCTAACATTTTGTCCCCTTCATCATTGTGAACAATGCTATCTTGCTCTGCCCATCCCTCAGGAACAAATTGAATAGCCTTTAAGCCGGCTGGTCAGAGAATCTCCTCATTGGTCTGCTCCTGGACCTGGCCACGCTGGTCATTAACAAGTCTGGGCAGCGGGCCGTGGAGGGGGAGGGGTTCATTATGGCTGACTGCCTGCCCCTCTTCTGCAGCTATGTCTGAGCCCACAGTATCCCTGAAAAAGGAGCACACGGTGTGTGCAGCGACACTCGCAATACCTTCAGGGAGAGGTGGGCACCGCGGGGTGGGTAGAGTACTTTATTTCCCCCTCCCAATTTTATTCTGATTTAGTCCTTACCCTTCCCCCTCACTTCCTCTTTCGCAAAAGCATTGCCCCTACCAGGGCTCTTTTTTTGTCACTGGTTCCTTGGCCACATGGGTGCTTTCCTGGTGGTGGAGTATTAATAAAGTTATTTACACAACTGGTGTCTCTCACTGTGTCCTGCACTTACACGTGCAAACATGGGTGCTGGGAAAAATCAGCATGACTGCTGTATGGCACTAGTGCAGGGGGAAAATTATTTAACCAGGAGATGGGAATCTCCTCAAAAGAAAACAGAATAGACTTTATTGTTGCTTGAACTCAATGAGTGCAGAGTACAGTTTGTAATGTCGCCTCTTGGTGTCATCTTAGGTACAGGGTATGTAGGTACAGATACTTTAGGTGTTGTCACACAATTGAAATAGTAGAAAAAGGAATAGACTAGCATGGGAAATACAGAGTTTAAAAGCCCAGAATGAGAATAAAGTGTGTCTTTAAAGTCCTCACGTCATAGTCCTTTTCTACTGAGCCCGTGCCCAACAGGATTCAGAACATGACGTCTCCCCTCTGTCCTAGGTTCGGACATGACCCCCCACCCTCCCAGCCATCCCACGCTCATTTGCTCTCACTCCAGGCTCCGGCTACGACTCGCTTCTGGGACTCAACCCTCGCTCCCTCTGCTCCCCGCTCCGGGACTCAACCCTCACTCC